TGTGGCCTGTCTGTCTTTTTCCAAAAAGTTCTCACATTACTTACCATGGGCTGCCCCCTACCTCTTCCAAAAAAAACACAACAGCTTAGGGCAATGTCTGCGCCCGCCGTCCAACACGTCGCATCTTGTCTCAATGGCCGTCGCTCCTCGTTTCAAAACATTGGTCCGGATTCGTGATGTTGGAGAAAGGAGCAGCAGAAACTTCGGAAAATTCAGGAGAGAAAACACAACGGCGACATATTCATGCATCCCGGCGGTGGTTTCTTCGTTCACATCACTACCGTCCTTGCTGGCAGGTTGTCCGTGTGTATAAAATCGGTCGGCATTCTTTGCTATGGTCTTCTGCATCACACTTCAATTTTTCATTCACCAAAAAGCGTATATAGATGACTTATGTGCTGTCTCTCTTCCAAAATCGGCGATAGAAGGCCTGATGAGTGGGAAGACTGTCGGATTTCTGCGATATCGAAACCGCCGCTGGCTCTAGTGATGATTTCGAAAAGACGGAGAAGGGCGCTATATGTTCGGAAAGATCGCAGACAACTTCCATCACGGAGAACCAGAAAACACGAAACCAGCCTTGGATGACTTTGGCGCCGTTCTCCTTCGCCAGCCGCTAGCTGAGCGGGCGCGGGTATAAAACGCCGTCTTTCTGCGCTCTCTTCCTTCCTTCTTTATCATATCTCTTCTCTGGGTTTCTCAAAAAGTATTGTACACAGCCTTACATGTGCGTTCTTCCTTCCCAAAACCCGAGTTGGTCACACATGGCGGAGCCCTGGAGACAGTCTCCGCGCTTCCCAAATCTAGACTTTCGATCCAAAACCCACGCAGTTCATGTCATATTCCGCGACTGCGACTTCTTAAAAGGAAATCGAAAAGGGACATGGCTGTGCAGTTCCGAGTTGCAACAAAAGCACAAGAAACCCTGCCATGTGTGTGGAAAAGACTAAAATCTTACCTCATATACGTCATGTTCTGTGGAAGTCAGCAACAGTCACGGTGATGGACTCAGAAAAGCCAACCTGGAGAAGCAAATGGTTCTCTGTCTCGGTGTCCAGATTCTGATCTACAAACTGAAAATACTGCTTGAGCGCTTCTATGTGGCTGGAGAAAGAGCCATTTCATTCCAGGTTCGCAGTCCAAAAACCATTCGACATACTTGTATGTGGCACGACATGAAAGTCCAGAACACGAGAAACACCCTCCTCGTGACTCTTTGTCTCTGCTCTTCCCAAAATCACAAAAAACTCGACAATGTCTGCTAAGAGAGGACTATCTTCCCAACAGCCATCTTCCAAATTGTGGATGTGAAACATTGATGTTGTGCCACTGCGACTTCCAAAATACCGCCTGGAAGAGTATATGATCTCTGTGCGTGTGCGAAAAGCGATATTCATGGTACTGTATTCCTCAAAACTGCAAGGTACTACAACATGTTGGAGCTTTCAAAAAATAAATGCATGCCTTTCATGTCTGCTCCTCCTGATAATTTGACAAGTCCACACTCATGCGGTTCGAGAACGCTTGCGGCGGTCTGAGCGCTAGTCTTGGGCGTGTATAAATACCTGCAGCGTCTCGCTCTGCTTTGTCTTCTACACTTCATTCTACCTCTACCATTTATTACCAAAAAAGCGCGAGAAGATGTTCATGACTGCCTTTCTTTCAAAAGTCTGACTATCGCTCTACATGCCCGAAGTCCTTCTGGGGTGTCTACTCGAAAGGTCAAAGCTATTGCTGCATGTGTCGCGAAGCAGACCAAGGCTATCCATCCTGAATCCCATATCAGAGCTCACGATGTGAAATCTGTCCAAAACTATGTCCCTCACTTGATATCTGTGCCAGAGATACCCTCACGATTCTACCATGAAACTACCAAAACGCAAAAAGAAACGCCGTATGTCTCGCTCTTCTCGGACGTGGTCGATATAAAAGCTCTCGTCTTCCTCTATGTCTTCTTCTCCTCTATATCCTCACCCTCGCAGGGTTTATTACCAAAATCTGGGTACTATCATGGAATGACTTTCCGCTCCCAATAAAAGATACAGGGCATGACAACATGGCTGTGGTCGCCGTCTGCGACAATATCAAAACCTCCGAGATTGCCTATGATGTGAGGCAACCAATCTCCGCGACCAAAAGTACAAGCTTGAATCTCTATGTGCTCTTCTCCGCTGTTGTTCTGGAAAACATACAACCTAATTTTCTATGAGAAGTGGTGGTGTTACCAAAAAATCTCGACGAAGTTTTTATGTTGCGACTCTGTTCTTTCTCCCAAAAGCTACGGCTATTCCTTTGATGAGATCGCCGGCGCCGCGCTTCATCAAAAACTGTGAAACAAGGTGCATATGTCCTCTGTCGGAAGAATGAAAAAACTCATGTCTGAGCTCCCATGTCCCAGAAAGTGAGCGCGATGAAGCTTTATTAAAATGCCTCGAGATCGGCCACATGACTAGCGGCTGGGCTTGTGGCGATATAAAAGCCTGCTGTTTTCCTCCCTTTGACTCTTCACATACCACGTGCAGTCCTCGGACATCAAAATCACACATGAGCTTGCCATGTCTCTTCTCTCTTTTCCAAAACAAAAGAGGCAGACCGCATAGGTCGAGAGGACGGAACCAAAAACCACTTTCGCGCGAACTATGATGAGCAGTTTTGAAATTCCCAGTTCATGCACATGTACAGCAACTGGCTTCCTCAGGGACTACATGTGTCCCACCATTACCAAAATTAAACCGGTACTCTGCCATGCTCTTCTCTCCTGCAGTATCAAAAGATGATGTATACTAGTCATGAGAGAAGCAACTCTCGGCTAGGAACCGGCCGTTCCAGAGAAATATAAATCCTGGCCTTTCTTTCTACTCTTCTATAAAACCGGCGTTCCATACTTCAAACTCAAAAAAAGCAACATATGCAGCCCATGTTCGCTCTGGCTGCTGTTCTTTTTAAACATCCAGCTGTGTTCGTTATGAGATCGAGAGACCGCCAGCCTGTACAGTTCACTAAACGAAAGAAGCATCCTAACAGGATACAGGGTACTAAATTAAAAGAAGTGTCATGATAATTTGCAGCGCCTCGAGAAACGCAGGAAGGTTGGAAGCATGCAGCGTGTTTGCATTTCTGCGGGTGGCGCCATCGGAGACAGCCGTGCATCCGTCCCTACGCCTGTGCAACGCTGTTTCAATGTACTTGACCACGTACCTGAGAGTTCATGAAAACTGTCACACGAGATATGGGGAGGGAATGATGAAATAACGATGCAGGGTATTGGCAAAGGCAACGCCTGTACTATCTAACGAACCTGATCGATGAATCCATCAATCGGAATTAACGCTTGATGACGCCATCAAGTCCTCTCATAACGCGTGATGATTCCATCACGTATGAACCACGCCGCTCGATGAATCCATCGAGCGTGCCCTGGGATTACCATGTCCTCGGCATCTCCGCCAGCAAGACTTTCTACAAAGGGCACATCAGATCCGTCAACCAGATGTGGAACCTCCGACATGGAGACGTTCTCGACTGCCACCGTCGCCGGGGTCATCGTGACCGCTTTACGCGCGCAAAGCATCGATCCGGGGTGGAGGAGCTCGTGGCGTCTCATTCACCCAGAAACCCCTCTCTTTCCACCCCTTTCCCACTCGCAAATCATCTGGTAAGGGCAGGACTAGTATGTACTCCCCCTTTGCATCCGCCCGTAGCATGACGCAAGGCCTTGGGGCGATTGGGCCGCTCTCTCCGGGACTTGTGCAGCAGACAACGCACGCTCTGGACGCCCCTTGACCCTTCGGGACAAGATAGGAGCGGATAAATCCATAGGCCGCGGTGAGCATGCAAAGAGCGTTATCTTCATGGTCGGCATTGTTCCAAGCTCTGATGCAGAATTTGGTCGTGAGGCATTTTTTGACTTCATCGCGAAGCAGTTTCGTGAGCTGGGCAGGAATGCCGTTGCGTATGACGACGTTGCGACCATTCTGAATGGGCAGCAGTATTGCGATGGGGTATTCTTTGGCATGAAGTTCCGAAGAGGCAGTCGCAGGCACGGAGGAGTTGGGTTCGGCATCGCTGGCGAACGGGCACTCGCCTTCTCGAGAGCGGCGTGATCGACGCTTTGCTCGCTTGCTTAAAGAGCATTCGGCACTGGCTCGCCGTTTCCCTGCGCCCTTCGTTGGCAGTGTCTTTTGAGGTGCGGCAGGATATTCTTGGAGTGTTAGCACCTCTGCCTTCATTTCAAAATTGGTGAGTTAATTACCAGTTGCCGACGCTGGCCCTTCCGTGATGGAATCGATAGCAACGACAGAGGCATGAACGCTCCGACGTTGAGCAATGACGCTCGGCAGATTTTCCAACCTACGCTGGAGATCTTCACGTCGCCGCGTGCTGGCATCTCGTCGGGCACGCAATGGTCCAAGCAAGCGCATAAGCGCGTCGGAGTCATTAGGCAGGTTGGAGGCCATTTTCTCGATGTGAGTGGTATGGCGTTGCAGTCACTTTGACAAAATGAGCTGATGATGTGTGCGCGCTACTTGGTAATCACATTTGTGAGGGCAGGCACGAATAATCGGATGACAAACGTTGACGTAGCTGTGGTGGTTTGGGCAGGAAGTCGCACATGTCCGCCACACCATCTCCCACACACCACTTCTCGCAATGCCGCACGATTCACGGGATACCAGCGAGATGTCTCCAAAAGTAGTGTTGCAAAAGCTGGCCGTAACACACAGATTGATTGTACAATCATACAGCGACATTCATTGATGCCGCAACCTCTATATATCCGCAACGATAACCTCTTCCCCTTCCTCGTGAGCTTTTCTCACGAGCTTTTCTCACGAGTGCTCACTCACGAACGTCTAGTCACGATCGTTTAGTTCACCCACGAGCGTTTACTCACGGGTATATACTCGTGAGGGTATACTCACGAGACGACGAAACGGTCACCTCTTGACCCTCCAAAATAGCGCACATCCTTGACGAGATAACCCTCACTGGCATCCACCTCACCGACTTATTCGAGCAAACTCTTCCTCAATGAGTCTGTCGAACTCTTTGCTAAGAGCGTCGAAGCCATCCCCATCGACTTCTTCGTTCTTGACAAAGGGAGCAGAAGTGCGACAAGCATTCCTGAGCCTCTCATTCTCAGCCCTGAGCTGCTCATTCTCAGTCTTGAGCCTCTCATTCTCAGCCCTGAGCTGCTCATTCTCAGTCTTGAGCCGCTCATTCTCAGCCCTGAGAGCATCCATGTCCGCCCTCATCTTATCGATCTCGGCACCACCGGCATCAGTCCGTGATCGCTTCGGCTCCGGTTGTTCGTCGTCGTCACCCCGTGAGCGCTTGGGCACCTGCTGTGACGGATGGTAGTGTCCTTTGTCGGCAAGCGGCAGCACGCTATCGGCAAACTCGCGGTACTCTGGGTAGTCGCGTCGAATGACCTCCAGATCGAGTGGCGACGGGCGAGTCTGCCTGGGCCTACGCATCCCTTCGCTTGAGCACGTACGCTTCAGGAAGGCAGCAGAGAGCCAATATCGGTCACAAAGCTATCGAGCATCAGCATCTGGTGGACCTCAGCATGGGGGAGAAGCCTTACGCATCCTTGGTGGTTCATGGTTCCACAACGGCAGCAGCGACGAGGGCAAGAGCTGTCGCGGAGCAAATGATACGAGCCATGCCCGTAAATGTTTGTTTCTCCACAATGCAGGCAGGTCGTGTCCTTGCGGCTCATTCCAGAGCCGGCCGGAATCTCCAGCTGATCTACGCAGTCGTGGGGCCGAAGGTAGTACTTGACGTCGAGCTTCAGCCTATACTGACCGTTGTCGGCATTGTTATTGGCATTGGCACTGGCACTGGCATTGCCATGGGCAGACCCATCGTTGTACCCGTTGGCACTGGGGTTGGCACTGTAGCCACCTCTGCCGCGAGGTGCTCCAGATGGCGCATTGTAGCTCCCTCGTCGAGGTCCTGTCGGCACTTGACGTTGGCCGAAGCCCTGCGGATGGTTGCCGCGTCCTCGCATTTTTGCGTTTTTTTGGCAGATTTCGAACAAAAGTTGGTGTGGTGTGGACGCGAGAGGTAGGAGGCAGGAGCTCTGGAGTGACTGCGGGCAAGAGCCACATGCAGCGAGGAAGGCAGGTCTAATTCATTTTCACTTTTCACACCAGTCAACCTTGGAACGGGAAGGCGGTTCACAGCGTGATACCCATCTTCCCATGGTTCTGCGATGACCCAGAAGCGACCCAGAAACGACGACCCAACCACACTGCCCGAATTCCATACGACTTATAGGCGACGAGATACTGGCTTCGGTTGAAGATGTGCAGGTGGCTGGGAAATTTCAGGTGAAATGAGTTAAGTGAATTAAAAATACGAGACAACTCAAGATGGAAGTACAAAGCCAACATGCCTCCGTCTACACCTGGTTACAGTACATGATGACATAAATTTCGGGTATCGCCACAGCCATGAACATTATGAAGAGATGCGCGTCCTCGCGACAGTATTGATCTTCTACGGTCCGCGATGAGCCCCACCGTCGAGCTCGTAGGTATACTGAACAGGGAGCTCCTGCGGTGGCTCGCTAGCGGTGTGCTGGTATTTGTAGGGCCCAGGCATCACGGGCTCTGATGCCAGCTCGGCCTTTGGGTACGCGTCTTGGTACATCACTGCCGGCGCGTACGGTTGCTGCATCTTCTTCTTTTCTCGACGCTTGTAGAGAAACCATAGGCCTACGCCGACCATGAGCGCCAGTGTCGGCCCAATAGCGATGCCCGCGATCGCGCCGGATGACAAAGATGAGGACGAGGATGAGGAAGACGAGTCGCTAGACGGAGGTGGCGGTATGGCGCTCGATGCTGCGTTTGATAGGACGTCTGATGCTGTAGCAGGAGCGGAAGAGGGTGTGGGTGATGCTGAGTCTGATGCAGACGAAGTAACCTCGGAAGTCGGTGACGCGGAGCTGGGTTCTATACTCGAACTACTTGTCGGAGCAGCGCTGGCACTGGCTAGTGACACGAGGTCAGCCGAGAGAATCTGGCAGCGTACAAACTTCTCGGTGAATTTGTAGCCCGACGCGCATGTAGTCTGGCCTGGACAGCATGCTTGGTCTACGCCAGCCTCAAGGTTAGCGCATGGCACCGAGTCGGCTTCTTCGCAGACAGATGGCTGGTCGACGTAACAGCCAGGCTCGCTATTGGGATTGTCGATGCAACACCATCCCTTATCGAGAAGGTTCTGGCACTGGGGGTAGCTTTCTCCCTTTCGGATACAGCAAAGCGTATTGCTGGGGTTGCAGGTATTCGTTACCGCGCCTTCGCCTGGAAACGCATCTTCGCATACGTCGCGCTTGAAAACTTTGAGTCCTTGCTTGAGGGCGCGCTTGATGTTCAGCGCAGCTTCCTGTGGTGTGGGAGACGTTCTTGGTTGATGGCCGAGTGCTCGTGTTGGGAGTTTATCGAGTGTATGCGCAAACGTGACCGTAGTAAGACAGAAGAGGAGTAATACCCATCGCGAGACCATGATGACCGTGCCAGCCATCGATGAAGCGGAATCGGTGTACAAGGCCGGAAGCAACAAGGCTGAGGTGCAAATCCTGAGAAAGGGTTGGTAGACGTACAACCCACGCGAGCGAGGCTAAGATCTGATCTTATGAGAATGGTGCGCTGGAAGGCCGTGCACCGCCATTTTGCTGCGGTCGATATCGACACCAATTGTAGTAGCCATCGCACATTTTAGAGTGGGGGCCTTACCGCAAGCCTGCGATCTACTGGCTGAGCGGCCTGAGGTTCGGCCTGAGGCTGTCAGGCAGCCTGGCGCTTAGCCTCATGCTCGTAGTTTCTTCCAATCCTTCTCGAAAGATATGCAAATACACATGCTGCAAGACATCGATGGGTTAGTCCGCGACTTTCCAATACATATGCTTCGCCATCATCGTTGCGCTCAGAAGAGAGGGGGAGGGCGGTCTGTCTCGTAGGTGTGTTATCGTGCCAAGAGCACGTTGGCCCCACGGCAAGGCCTCCAGTAATAGGAGTAGGTCTCGTTGTGGCTGCAGCTGAAACAAGATAGTGACGATTTCCTGGACTATGGGTGGCTTATGGCGTCGATTTGCCACATGTTGAATTTGAGCGGAGGCGCCACGAAACACGTCGCTCAGTCTGGCGACTCGAGGTTGATGGACATCAGAGCCGGTTGTGAAGCTCCGGTGTGACTTGTTATCCTCATTGATGGAATCTGTCGAAGTAGCGCTCTCGCGGCTACATCCGTCGTTTTGTGTGCTTGAAGATGTGTCGCAGCGTGTTGTTGTCGTCTGGTCGATCTTTCATCACGCTAATGCACGTCGAGCCGAGATCGGGGCCAGAGGCTAACCATCCTTGGACTTGGCCGCGGCATGACTTTGGGGGCCAGAACTGAACCCTTTCAGCTGCTGCTGACACGTTCGTAATATTGCTGTGGTCATGATTCCGCGCATATCACTCAGACATGCCCTGATCCATGAGCAGACTCTACGCTATCACGTGTCCAATGTAAACCTTGGCTTCAGCGTATCGCTACCATGGTCCTTAGTAAAATCTCATCTCAACAACCAAAGTACACCACAGTCATGTGCTGCTGCTCCTAATGTCTGGAGGGATGGAATAAAATTTCGCACTTGTGCGTCGTTCCTTCTTCATCGATCTTCAATTCCAATATGAGACTCTACGCCAACGTCATGTCCGCGTTGCGTCGACCGATTCGAAACCCTTTCATCGCTACGTGTCTCGTACTCCTATCCGTTCTGACTTTCTGGAAACTGAGCTCGAATGTTCCCGATAAACTTTATGGCGGCATCGCTCTCAACGAAGGCCCGTTCGACAAGGCCCTAGTCATCGCTTCCATGAAGCATGAGAATACGTCTTGGTTCTACGATGAGCTTCCAGAGTGGCGCAAATATGTCTATGTGGTGGACGATCCAACCGCCGAGCTCACGGTGCCGTTGAACAAGGGTCGTGAATCGATGGTGTATCTTTCGTATGAATACAACCCTACGCGATTATGTCGTTTGCTATGCAAGGACTGACTCTGAAATAGCTTCATCATCGACAACTACCACAAATTGCCAGGAAACATTCTCTTTCTCCACGCGGAGAGATACCAATGGCACAACGACGATCCTGACTATGACGGTCTGTCGATCCTGCGAAAGTTTCGCTTTTCCTACCTACAGGAAAAAGGGTATCTCAACCTGCGCTGTGTATGGGTTCTGGGTTGCCCGAACGAGATTCGCCCACTCACAGATGCAGTAGACGCAGCCCACACTCAGCCTCATGCGGGTCATTTCTACAAACAAGCCTTTGAAGTGATCTTCCCAGGTCGCGACATTCCAATGGCAGTTGGTGTTTCTTGCTGCGCGCAATTCGCTGCTACGAAGGAAAAGATACAGGAACAACCGGTTGAATACTATGAGCGCATTCGAAATTTGTTGCTGAGGACAACCTTGGAAGACTCAATCAGTGGAAGGATTATGGAGTATTCCTGGCATAGTAAAATACCCCACCCTGGTCATGGAGTTCCCAGTGTACTAATTCTTGTAGTAATATTTGGGCAAGACCCTATTCACTGCCCCAATGCGAGTGTGTGCTATTGCAAAATGCTTGGGTTGTGCAACCTGAAGTGCACTAGTGGCGCTTGCCATGGTCGGTACGAACTGCCTCCGTTCGCAACTCTCCCTGAAGGATGGCCGATCATTGGTTGGCATGGCGAGCAGCGAAAGCTCGGAGTTCCGGGTTAAGGAAGACATATCGTTGAGTGCTCTGTGAGAGTAACCATGGCAGTCAATGTAGGTGCCAACTTGATGTATGGTAATACTCCCGACCGCTGAACGCTTGCTGTAATCAGCAAAACACTAGGCGAGGCGGGGCGACTGTAGAAACGGGAGCGGACTAGTAGGTCTGCACATGCGAATTAGCTCTCGTCAAAGAGAAGGACCGCGTCGGCCAATTACAATCGCCTTAGAAAGTCTGACTTCACGTATATCGCGACGATCTGCATGCGTTGAAAAGCCTCGTATTATAAGTATCAAATCATGCTTGGTCGAGCGACTGCGCCAAGCACGTAGCGAAATACCTTCCTCTTAATCTTTGCAGTTCCTCATGAGTACCCATTTCGGCGATAATACCATCTTCCATAACGAAGATAACATCTGCGTGTCGAATCGTGCTCCTGTATGCAATGTCAGTGATCGATCATCCTGTATCTCCACATGGATGTACTCACAGCCTATGCGCGACGGCAATCGTCGTCCTCGACATCGCAGCCTCATCCAGCGCCTTCTGCACGATCCTTTCACTTTGAGTGTCCAACGCCGACGTCGCTTCATCCAGCAACAGCAATCGTGGCTGGCGAATGAGCGCCCTGGCAATCGCGATGCGCTGTCTTTGCCCGCCGGAAAATTGCAAGCCCTTGGATCCGCAAAGGGTTTCTAGACCTTCGGGTAACGAGGCGACAAATTCGAGGACATTGGCTTGGCGACACGCCTCTTGGATCTCGGCGTCGGAAGGCTTGTGTTGGAGACCAAGGGCAATATTCTCTCGTACGGAGCCAAGGTAGAGTGGTGGCTCCT